CGTAGAGCGGTTTCTTGTCCAAGTGAGAAGTTTGTCCAGGTGGAGTCCTAGGTATCGGATTTATTCAGCAGGGATAAGTGGAAGATGGAATTGTTGGGTCGTTATTAACTGATAGAACATTAGTGTCATCGGCATACGTGGTGATGACAGTGTTAGGATGGGTTGGGATATCAGCTGAATAAACTTTGTAAAAGATATGATCTAGGATACAATAAAGAACTTTCTAATAGAATACCAGCAGACTGGAAAAATATACGATTAGACTTTATTGTGGTTTACTTTGAAGTATCTATGAGTACGGTAGGAAGGGATGATGATGGAGTATGTATGTGGTAGGATTTTACGGAGTCTGTTCAGAAGTCAATGAGAAAGACCCCCGTACAGTACATTCCGCGCTCCAATCTATAGGATACTACGTCTACCACATGATCATGCATGATCATCACATCTCATGCTGGTTAAAAGAGAGATAGGACGGTGATAGGATGGGTATTCTGATGTCTTTTAAGTTTTAAGGTTTGTGTATCCTTTTGACAATAGATAGTTTATAAGTTCACAAAGTTAAATACAATGTGGCAATTTGATATTAATTGTTTTCAATCTTTGTTTTTTTATTGTATTCAAGTTTTAAACATTAATAATTAAGTGAAATTTCATAATTTTTCACCAAGCACCACCACCCACTTGCAGATCGTGATCTTATTCTTTCACAACTCAGTTGCAAATTGATATTTTATGACAAATACTTATGTATATATATATTATGCCAATAATTTAAATTTTTGTTGGAATGGATGTACTTTCGTTCGAATTCACTGATATTAGAATAAAACAATAAAAACAGGCAATATGAGTACTGTTGAAAAATCCACTGTTAAATAAATGTATTTTATAAATATTTGATTTGTATCTACTTCTCGTTTTTTAGTTTTGTTGAGATCATTGCAGTTTTGTTTGAATTGTCAGTCTACAAGAATTTTGTATTATTTGAATTTTTTTTTTAATAACGAAGTTATCAATGATTTGTATATTTTACAGTGAATTAAAAATAAAAATTTATAAATTTTATAAAGCCTGATAAACATACTGACATTGCATTTTTTCCAAATAATGATTGAACACCAATTGCAGCACACATCAAACACCATTGAATCGAATAAAAAACGTTTGCCAAGTAAGATCAGTATAGCTTCCTCACCGTTTCATTAGCTAAAATACATCTATATTTCAAGGTATACAATTTTTCGTATGAGAATAAAATCTATGGGAGAAGACAATTCATTAATACAGTTACCCTTTAACATTCGCGAGTTTGATATTCACGAATTTCGTTTATCACCTAATATTAAAATGCGAAAGAGTGCCAAATTTGAAGATTCCATATTGATTATTCTTAAAAAAAAAAAATACCAATGCATACTGAACATGCATTTCACTACTAATAGTGCAAAAGATCGTATGTAAAAATTATTTATTCATGCTTTATTGGTACAATTTCATATTTTATCGTCCTCCGGTATTTTCTATAGTAGTAGACTACTTATATCAGTTGCAGGCTACAAAATTTCACCATACGATCATTTGCACTAATAGTAGTGATGTATACTTGATAGGTACGTTTTCAGTTTGTAAAATGGATGGAACTAGAAAATCCATAGGAAAAATTCAATATTCTTTTTCAGTGAGAACAAAACTAATTAAGCTTGAATATAAAAATATAGCTGAAGTTCACACAACTTCGATATTTAAGGAGGAAATCGTGACCAAGACAAACTGACTGAACCTCAATGGAAATAAACACAATCACAAATAAGACATTTTTTTCTTTACAAATTCAGAGTAAAAATTACTTTAAATTAACTGAAAATTACACGAAATTTAAGTAAGGCAGTAAGTGTCATGCCAGTAATGTTTGAAATGGACCAAACAATACAGTACCAATTAATTTTTTTAATAAAACCTAAAATTTTATAACTCTATAACATTATTGTCATAACCTAACTCCCACGCCTTATGATCAGTGCCTTCAACATTTCATAGCCATTATATTGTTAACAATTATTTATATTAATTTTAATTATTAAATGGAATTCAATGAAATCGATACTAAGAAATTTCTATACTGTTCTCCAAATTTCCTCCAAGTTTGGTTAAAATCGAATGCCCCGTTTTCAAACTATAAGCATATCAAATATTACATTTCCTGATCTAAAAGCGGAAGTATTTTTTTTGGAGTAGTAGATAGAATTTGATAAAATTGGTGACTATTTCATTTTACGTTTGCCGATCCCTAAATTACCTCCAAATTTGAGCCAAATCGAACTTGCGGTTTTAGAGATATAGACGTATCAAGGAAAATACGTTTGAGCATATATAAGAGAAAGCAATGGACAGAATTCAATAAAATTAGCCCTGCATAATTTTTTCAGCAATACCTACCTTTTATCCAACTTTGAGTCAAATCGAACAAGCAGATTCGGAAATATTAGCATATCTACAAAAATGCGTAAGCGGAGGTGCTGGTTAGAATTTAATACAATTTATATGGAACCATCTAGACACCAATCCGCAAATTTCTGAAAATCTGATAAACAGTAGTAGGTGAAATGCCCATCACATCGATTTGACTACAAACAGACATACAGACACTGAACCAAATTTGGTCCTTGATGGCTGAAACGTAAAACGCGAGTGAAAATTTTCGATTCTGAGCACAAATTTTTTTTTAACCTCTCGTACAAATACAATGCTTCCCTACTTTCGGCAGTGAGGAAGCAAAAAATAAATTAGTGCTATTTATTTTTTTTTTTTTATTCGGTAGAATAAATTACTATATAAATATTAACGAAGTTAATTACTGAAGTAAGTATAAACTTAATTTATTGTAAAGTTTTTTATAATGTTTATTATTTAGTCAATATAATCGTTGAAATACTGTCTGTAAACAAGGGCGTACCCAGGTTTTGTGCTTTAGGAGACAAGTGAGGATAGATCTCAAGAAGTTGCCAACACGAGATCTATTGTATTTCGAGCAAAGTTCAAGGTTTTGGTCTTATATAATTTTTTTATTAGTTATTGCTAAAAATAATTCTAATAATTTTAGAAACATTGATTGATTCATTATCGTTAAAATTATGAGTGAATGAATAGTATTTGGTTTAATATTCAAGGTATAAACAAAAAAAAAAAAAGAATACGAACTGAACGTTCTTACATATGAACATTCAACTACCAATACTAATAACATACATTACCGATTTAAGTATGTACTGTATGTAAAGCTTCTAAATATGAGTTAATAAACAAACGAATATTACAGAGATCGTATATGGATAGTTTTAATAACGTTTAATAAAATTAATTAATAAAATTCGTAAAATAAATTTTTTTTATTGTGCATAGAGTGTGAATGTGAACTCTAAACACTATTATAAATGTCCTTTGAGACATACTGTAATATTTTTGAATAAATAAGTTTAAATAAAATAATAAAAAAATAAAATTCATGATATATTCAAACAATTTTTTTATAATTTATAACAAAGGTTTAGATAATTTACATTTTTGATAAATTGTCGATTATTTTCATCTTATGGAAAAGATAAATTCGATTTCGGAAACTTTAATATGTTTACAACACCAAGTTACTCAGAAAATGAAATCTTGTAAAATTTCCGAACTAGGGTCACGGGTTCATGACATTTCATTGAAGAGGGTTGGTATGTGTGGGTTGTGTGTAACGCGGGGGTGCGGCTTGTTACACAGAACCAAAATCCAAAGTATCTTAATTATAAATATTTCTCACGAATTCTACTTAAATAATAATCATACCTATATTTTATTAACTTTTTGACTGAATAAACTATAGATGCTAAAACAATAATAGTTATAACAATAGTTACTATAAAATAGTTTGTGATGCTAGAGGGGAATAGAGCAGATGCTATTTAAATACTATATGTAGACATTTTTCTTGAGAAATTTTATTTGGTTATTTATTGCTCGGTTATTATTATTGATGTGTAAAGCGTAGGAATTTAATTATTTCTTGTTTATAACATTCCTCTCAAAAGGTTTCATTATTTATCGAGAATACTATAAAACATCAAACATAATACGAAATAACACCATAAATTTTTCTTTAGTGGTTGTGAGATTTTTTTCAGCAATGAAACATATTTTTGTTGTATTTCGGCCGTTTTCGATATCCTCAATATTTTTTTTTCTTATAAATTAATTAGACTGATTTTTAAAAAAAATTATTATATAAAGAGCAGCTGTTTATAGGATGAAACAAAAATCGATTTTGTGAAAAGAAAAGAAAATAGATGTATTGATTAAAAAGTAAAGGGGAAATTGAAAGTACTGAGCGAATTAAAGTACGTAAAATAAGAATTAATATAAAAGTTGCTATATAAAATTTCTGTTTATTTTCCATATATTTTATATTAAACAAATAATACGTTTATATAGCTATGAAATAAATGAATTATGAACTATTTGTAAAGACGGCGGGTCTCCTGTAAACCGATATTTTAAATTAATAAAAATTCACAAAATAATTATATACACAGCATTTATTTATTCCTAAATTTATTTATTTTAATAACTTTTAAAATTTATATTTTGATCATATTTCAGGAAAAAAATTACATAGTGTTGGCAGTCGGTACAGAAGCCGAGAATAAGATTTAAGGGTACTGACGAGTTTTGGTCCAGGAGCCTGGGTAGGGTGAGGATATCGATCTGTAGAGCACGCGGAGAAATCACTACAGGCAAGTGTGTGTCCAACGAGAGCTTTTGGCTATGCTTCTCTAGGTCGGAGGCACTCTAGGATAGTATGTGTGTGTGATATATGGTTTAGAGTAAAGGTGTGTTAAGTCTGTTTGTTAGGGAGGCACGGAGAATAGGTTTATAACACTTATACCTTCATCTTCAGATTTTTTTATACCCCTCATCTGGTAATTAATCAATGCAATATAGATTGTGAGACAACTACACTATAACTTTATTGCAAGAACCCTACCGTTGGTGTTGTTATCGACATCAGCGAAGGGCCCCTGAAGAGCAGAGTCGCCGGGGACCCAGCTGTTGTTGACCTCCTGGCCAGTGACCAATCGGGTGAGGTTGTACCTCCAGCCGCACTGGTCCTCGAAGCCGCAGAAGGTGGACGCAGCGGCCGCCAGAGAGGCTAGGAAGAGGAAGGCTCCCAGCATCTCCTCGCCGGCGCCATACCACGACTGGGGCCCGCTCCCCTCCACCACCACCATCTCCCGCAGCTACACTCTACGCTTGTACGTTCTTCCGTCGTAATCGATAGGTCGGAACGATTAATTTTCAAATTTTGATGCTGTATATATATATATATATATATATATATGCTCAGATTATTTGATGAAGTCATCTTAGTATATAGTGAAACCTCCCTTAGTGGACATTATAGCGGATTATTTCATATCCCCATCGGCAGTCAATAATTTTATAATAGGGGTGTACTCGTGATAAATTCTTAGAACACACTAAGAGTCGTGATTAACGTTTAACATTCTCTGTTAACTAAATCACGTTTAAACTGAACCAATGTTAAAATTAGGGTCCTGTTGGGGCCGAGGGTATTTCTAAATTAAAACACAAACCCTTCCCCGGTGAGGTTTCTCAAAGGTGGGGAAAATTTGAGTAAAATTAAAAATGTGGGAAAATGGAAAAATAAAAGGAGTGGAAATGAGACCTGTAAAACGTGAAAAATGCATGCTCAAGAAAATATTAAAAAATAGAAATAGTTCAATACATAAAGAAAAAATGGAAAATAAAAAATCCCCTTTTTAATGTTTACAATTTATTGAGATAAAAGATTTTTGTAAAATTCAAAACAAATAAATGAGAAGAGAAAAAAAAAATATTCAAATGCACTGAAATATAAATAAAACATAAATATACTGTTCAGTGAAAATAAACAAAAGAAATCAAAAGAAAGAAAAATAACTGTCCAAAATAACAAAACTAATTTATTGAGAGAACCGAAAACTGACTAAATGTTCAAATGTCTTAACGTAAGGTATTAAATGTTCAAAACTAGGTATTAACGTGTGACGTCATCTTATTTATAACGTATAACAAGAAGCAGCAATTGTTAAAGAACTTGGATGATAATAAGAATCTTTCATCCACTTGTGTGAAAACTTTGATATTTACAATTAACGAATTGTTAGGTTATTTGATTGACTATCGCTCGATAATTATTGGAAAGGCTATGGAAAAAAAGAAAAAGAAGTGAAAACAGATTGATAAGATCTAACAAGCCATCATTTGATGATAAAATGTCTTCAGAAGAATGTTTTCCAGATGATATCATATTTGTAGTCGTCTAGAAAAATGTACAAAACAAAATCAGTACACTAGTATTCCCAGAAGAAGAAAATATTTGTTTTCTGCTAACGCTGGATCAGCTGCTTATGATAACTTAGTACATTGATAAAGCTAATCAACATTTCTGCAACGAAAATTATGTTAACCACTGTTAAACTAATCAAAGTAGACTTAAAGTCAACAACGGTCGGTGCAACCGAGCCATAATGTGTTATGTTGTTGAAAAGTTTGAATGAATCTTAAGTGAAAGCCATTCCATTCTATCCTGTGTTACCAACGTTGAGTTGAAACCAAATCTCCACTTGGGATAATCGGCTGATATGGTTTCAAATTTGATATTTTTTATGTGAAAACTTTAATGGGTGAAGTATGACATCGATATATTAAGAAGGAAATTAAAAAAAACAAAACAATTATTTTGTTCGAACTTATTGAATTATTATAATTCTTTGTCCAACGTTTTTCGGATTTCTTCCGCGTCTTTTCTTACATTCCATTAAAACAAGAACAACTTGATTTATTTTGTAGGATTTTGACAATTGGGTGCTCCATGCGCAATAGCTAGTGTTCAATAAATGGAAAACATGTTTTTCTATAGACTGTAGCGCGGAAATGGACCTAACGATTTTGATGAAACTTTTCTATAATGATTTTATAATTGTCCTTTTCATTTTCGTGCATGGACTAAATTCTCAAAAAAAAGTTATAAAGAAAATAAAAATGTTTTGGGGCCTAACTCCCTAAGTATATATTCTATGGTAAAATTTATAATACAAATTTTGAAAGATAATTAAATTAGCAACAAAACAAAAAAAAAATATATGAATTGAACCAGTATTAGCGATGATACAGCTTATTCTTTTTTCTTCACATAGTTTAATTTATTATTTTCCTACCTATACTAGGTAAGGAAAGTATTGCGATCGGGTAAAATTTCCGATATGCGGTTTTCGACGGATCTATACGTTTCAGAGTTCCCAGAATCTATTAACAAAGTTACAGCTATTCAATTTTCAATGTAAGATTACGGGTTCATATCCTGGTGCATGAAAGGGGTGAATGAGAGAAAAAAGATAACTAAATGAAAGTAAGAAAATCTGTCGTCCGTATCACACAAGCTTCACTATTTCCTCTACTTTTAACAGAAATTATTGTTTGACAAAATTAGGCTATGGCAAAAATTTTTGAACAGCAATATTAGAGGGTATTGAAATTTTTACACTGATCTATCTTAAACCGGTGTACATTGCTTTTTTTTATCAAATAAATTGTCCTCAAATCTTTTCTTTGATCAATTTTCAGCAAAATAAATCTGATTCAATATGGTTTTTGTTTTTCGAAGGACATTTGTAAAGATATAAAAACTTTTCTGAAATAGGTAGGAAAGTCGTGTGAGTGTACATACCAGATTTTTTTCAACTTACAATCATTTCAAATAACATTTTGTTAAATTTTTCATGCATAGTAATTCTTATAATAATTATACATTCTAAAAAACTCACATATTTCAAATTATATAATTTTTTAAAATAATTACCTATCATGTACTTGTCCTATATTTCTTGTGTAAAATACAGGCGTCTTCTCATCACGTTCGCCATGTCTATTTTTACCTATTATATTACATTATTATTATGAAAATTTTATTCTTATTAAAGGATTTATATAATGTTAAATTACCATATTATGTGTCAATCCATATGTTTTCCTTTTCATGGTTATTGAGCGTATACAGAAGATTATATATATATATATATATATTACGATGCTGTTTCTTTATATTTTACGTGGACCTATTTCAAGCAATACTAGCTGTTCATTTCAAATGTTTATTTTTTCAATTGAACTCGCGTAAAACGTATTAAGTTACCTACATCTGTATGATTATTTACAGAATTTTTCAAGTTTTTAGTAATATATATTGCTTCCTTTATTCTACGTTTATTAGTATTACTTTCATTATGAAGGATTTTAAGGTTTTTGAAATTGGTGTTTAGTTTTCATAGTATGCTGAGGAAGTCCGGTAGCTAATTTAGTTTTAGTGATTTTTTCATTACAGTTTTGTTTATGTTGTTCAATCCTTTTTTCAAACCATTGTGATGTCTGTTCAAAATATGATTTATTGTTACAATTTTTACAGTTTACTTTATAAATAATATTTGTTAACTTATCGGTAGGTACTTTATCTTTAGTTTTGGAATAAATTTTATCTATTTTAATAATTGATTTGCTTACAAATTTAATTTCGCTCTCATCATATTGCTTAAATGTTATTTCTATTTTATCAGTTAAATTTCTTATATATTTGACGCTAAAATATTTTTTAGGCTGTTGTTGTTTGTTTTCATTATACTAGTGCTCGCCCAGTGTTCGAAATTCGACCATAGTAAATTCGACAAGTAGCCACCGTTAATACTTCAGTCTCATTCCTGTTCCATTAACTAATGCTTGTGTAGTATTTAAGTTAACAATGAGTAAAACTATAAAATATATTTTTAAATTTAATTTATGAGGTATCATTCCACTAACATTAAATGATATCATCTCTTCAAATAATAGACCCAATTACCTCAGTAAATTAAAAGTTTTCGATTTATAAAAAAAATAAAATAAAAGAAATCGAATTTGGAAGGGAAAGTAAAAGTACTAAATGTTTAAAATGATATATCTCTGCAACAAATAGTCCGATTTCGATGATTTTTTTTTTCATTTTGTAGGAAATCAAGAAAGCTTTCAAATGAATATTGGTATTATCTAAAGTATAAAAATTATAAAAAAATGTGTACTTTTTGAGTTATTCGCAAATAAAATACTGAATTCATCATAAAAATGTATGCAGTTTGTTTTCGGGAAAGTATGTTATATACATAAATTATCAAGGTTTCAAGGGGAAGACTTTAGCCAAGTTTCATTGAAATCGTTGAAGCCGTTTTGGCGCTACAGTCTAAAGCGAATCACGTTTTTCGGCCGCCATTTCGAAAGGAAAGACCCGATGATAATGAAACGTATACAAAAAGAACTTCTAAATATTATTGCGACGTTGTGTCAAAATTTTTAAAAAATCGATGAAGAGCTTTCGGAGATAAGCCGTTTTGAATACCATTTATATTTTTATTCACATACTATTTAATATTTTTATTTATTGATAACACTAAAGCTCGTAAATAACTATTAAACAAAAAAAGAAGGAAGAAAATCGGTTGAATAATAGAGGAGTAAAAGGGGCTGAACCGAATTGTGTTTGTCTATTTATATAATGAATTTCCAATTTGCGTTTTAATGTCACGCATATGGTTGAAGGAAGTTTTCTGTTTTATAGTATCAATTTTAAAATAATTAGTTATTAAATTCGGTTCTTTCTTAAATTTATTATTTTGGTTTACTTTTTCGCTCTTATTACAAAGAGTATATTTTAACTGTTTGTTACTATTGTCATTTTTAACTAACTTTTATTTTTATACAACAATTTATTTATTAATCCAATAGGATAACAGTTTTCTAATAGAATTTCACATATTTGTGATCTAATTTTTCATATAATTTTTATCATTTGTTAATTTTGCCTTGAACATTAAATCTTTAGCTGTATTAATTATTTGATGTTTTTTTGGTTACTGTGCCAATTAGGATTCTATTACTAGTTATTGTTTGTTTTGCACCACGACGTGCTAAGATCGCCACTTTCATTCCTGTCAAAATACATGTCAAGCTATCTTATTCTATTGTTATTTTCCCAGGCCAGTGTTTCAACTGCCTCCCGCAGAGCTACATCCTACGCCCTGATGAAGACCCGCAAAGTGAGTCGAAACGTCGGCAAAAATTAAATGATATTATTTGCATAATTTAGTATTTATTTAGTATTTAGTACCGCACCCCCCGATCAACTCCTTCTCATATTATTATT